CATCACATTTGGCTTAACACGTCGAAGAAGTTTTATACTGGATGGAGCAACAACCAACTGCTATTCGAAGAATTGTGATGCATATGCGAAATGCTTTACATTATGTTCAGAAAAAAAAGAGGCTCAAAACCAAATGAAGTAAAGTATCAGACTGTTTAAAAAATCCATTAGCTAGGACCCCAGCCAGCACATCACATGAAGCACCCACACCACACAAACGTAGAGATATCAGCTGATTGTCGTATTTTCTCTGTGTTTTTACCATAATTCATGTCATAATGTCAAGATATGCAATGTAAGTGGGTCTTGTATATCATAATGCATAATACAGTGAGATATACTGATTTTCTATGGTAAATATTTCCTGGAGTATCACTAGTGAAGTCACAGTAACTTTGCATGCTGTCATCTGGGCTGTTAGTTTCTTATGAACCTAACCAGTGAAGAGAAAACAGTAGCTCTCTACATTCAATATCATACTATTATATTTTATTACAAGTTATAGCTTTTACAGTAAGGAAAATTATTTTTAGAACAGGTACGATATTTCAATCACTAGTACGACTATTCTCAAGTGTGCAAGTTAACCTAGCTCATAACGAAACTATTAATCATACTGTTTCAATACACCTAGGAAGAACAGTATGTGTATCTTGTTGCAAACAGTAACTTCATTAGAAAACTGTAACTTAATGAACATAATGGAGTATCACGTTTTACATTTAATGATGAAATTCACTGCTTTATGTTGAGGTGTGTTATTAACATTTCTAAAATAATTGCCCTTAAAAACACTATGGTAAACTAGTTACCTCCTGGAGAACAGTAAACCATAATTCCACACTTTTTTAATAATAGCTTATATAAAGATTAATAAAACATAAACATCAAAATTAACTTTCAGTTAACCATGTCCTGATTATAATTATGTCCTATTTCAATTACCATTAACCTGGGATATAATTTCATCTGTGAGGTAACACATTATCAATTCTTGATAAGATCTATTTCATGAAAAGTATGGTCATTCAGAAATAATTATCTTTTCACAGAGCTTCTCAATTTTCAAAACTTGCTTGAGAGAAAGAAATTGTTTTTCCTGGTTTATCAAAAATTTCTTCATAAAAGAAGCACCCATATCTTGTCAAAGTGTTTTGAGAGAAGTCTTTCCAACAAATTCATAAATAAAAGTGTATACACCCACACCTGAAATTCCATACTATAAATCATAATTATTGTCATAATTAAATGGATATTGGTTTTCAAGGATGGTTTGCCAAGATCGACAACTCTTACAATTTATATCACTTCTGGATTGTATTGCATTTGGGTGGATGATCTGGAGATAGTTTGCTCCTTTCCTCACTAGTGAAGTCACAGTAACTTTGCTTGCTGTCATCTGGGCTGTTAGTTTCTTATGAACCTGACTAAAATTAATTATTAAGGTATTTTAAGCAAATTAATTCTTCCAGCTATTTTTTTGACTGAGGTTTAAAGATGGATATTATAGAAGCATGTAACTTACTAGTAGCCACGTTGATATTAGTGGGTGGTAGTAAACATTGGTAGAAACTAGACCCCTAAGTACAGCAAAGGTTCCCACAAAGCCTTCAATTAATCATTTATGTATATATGAAACTACGGAATAATTGAAGTAACATTTGCAACACCCTAAGCTGTCTTCAAAATAAAGTTTTTAACCTTTGTGATATACTATGTGCGAAGAAATGAATTTCAGAACTTGTAATATACACTGTATCCAACATTACAAAATAAATTTCACACTAAAATAGTAGTTAATGTACTGGATTGTGTCTACTGCTTGGAACAAGAAGTATCAGCTGAACACGCTCCACACTTTTTGTTGTTGGGAACGTTATAACTAATAAAGTCAACTCTTCTGTTTGAGTGCTGCCAATTGATTGCTCTATCCTTGGTCATTAGAATTAGAAATAGCTATATCTAAACTCTTGGGATATCACACCTAACCGCTCATCTCCTTTTGTGCACAAGGTGCTGTGCCAATTTTGCATATATATATATATATATATATTGTTGGTATACTTTGGTG